ACTCACCTCAGCCTCCCAAAGGCACGGGATTACAGGCTGAGCCACCGAGCCCGGCTCCGGCTCTTTTTTTTTAAGTCAGGGTCTCACTCTGACACCCAGACTGGAGTGCAGTGACAAACTCACAGCCACCGCAGCCTCGACCCGCTGGGCTCAGGCGATCCTTCTGCCTTTCCTTCCAAGTAGCTGAAACTACAGGTGCACACCACCACACCCAGCTAATTTTTTTTTTAGTTAACTAATTTTTTATATTCAGAGTCTCACTCTGTCACCCAGGCTGGAGTGCAATAACACACTCACAGCCAGCACAACCTCGACCTGCTGAGCTCAGGCAATCCTTCCACCTCACCCTTCCAGGTAGTTGGAACTACAGGCATGCGCCACCATGGCTGGCTACTTATTTATTTATTTATTTATTTATTTTAGAGATGCGGTCTCGCCAAGTTACCCAGGCTGGTCTCAAACCCGTGGGCTCAGGCAATCCTCTCAACTCAGCCTCCCAAAGTGCTGGGATTATAGGCATGAGCCACCATGCCCAGCCTATTAGTAACTATTATTCTGATTTTCTTTCATTCTATTTACCCACTTGAGATTTCCCCCAACCCATCTCCTATTTCTGGGCTGTGTGCGTGGAGGACTAGGAGCTTGCGCTGGGGTGCCCTATCACGAGAGCTAAAATTCCAGAAGGCACCAAAAAAGGCCCAAAGGGTGCAAACACTGCAGGACTGATTAGGAGGGGAGGAGGAGCCAGAGCTGGGGAGTTTAAAGAAGGGAGAGCCAAGCCGGCTCAGTAGCTCAGCCTGTAATCCCGTGCCTTTGGGAGGCTGAGGTGAGTGGATTGCCTGAGCCTGCGGGTTCGAGACCCACCTGGGCAACCTGGCGAGACCTCATCTGTGCAATAAATCAAAAATTAGCCGGGTGTGGTAGCGTGCACCTGTAGTTCCAGCTACTTGGAAGGCTGAGGCGGAAGGATTGCTGGAGCCCAGCTGGTGGAGGATGCGGTGGCCGGGAGCGGCCACTGCCCTCCAGTCTGGGCGAAAGTGAGACTCCAACTCAAAAAAAAAAAAAAAGAAATAATAATGGTTGGGCTCGGTGGCTCAGCCTGTATTCCTGTGCCTTTGGGAGGCTGAGGTGAGTGGATTGCCTGAGCCTGCGGGTTCAAGACTCGCCTGGGCAACTTGGCAAGCCCTCATCTCTACAATAAATCAAAACATTAGCAGGGCATGGTAGCGCGCACCTGTAGTTCCAGCTACTTGGAAGGCCAAGGTGGAAGGATCACCAGAGCCCAGCAGGTCGAGGCTGCGGTGGCTGGGAGCGGCCACTGCACTCCAGTCTGGGCGACAGAGTGAGACTCCGACTCAAAAAAAAAAAAAAAAAAGAAATCATAA